CATTGAAATTGGGTGAGTCATAATAAGTTCAGTAAGTCCCCTACATACGAACCTTCAAGTTGCAAACTTTCAAAGATACGAACGTGTGTTTGCATGTCCATTCATGTAAATTAGTTCACGTGCCTGGTGTACATTGTCACGTGTGTGCACCCTCTACAAGTGGTTGTGCTTTTGTGTGCTTTACTGTCCAGCACTGTTGCTGTGCAACACAAGGAGCTTACTAATGAAGACCTTATGAAATTGGAGGCCCAGAGAAAGGACGAAGAGAGACAAGAGGAAGAAGAAGTAACTGAAGAACTGAAGAGATTCACAACACAGGAAGTGGCAAGGGGATTTTCTTTATTTGAGGAGAGGCACTGTTAGTTTTTGAGGCACAGGACTCGAACGTAGAACAGTACATGAAGTTTGCAGCAGCTATTCAGAATGCAATCCAGTGTTACCGTGTCATCTATGATGAGAAAAAACCAGCTACTACCCAGACATCACTGGATCGTTTTTCAAGAGGGAAGATAGAATTGAATCCAGCAAGGAGTCAGAACCTGTGCCATCAATGTCAGGCATGAGTGAAACTGCAGCTTGCCCTCCATCTCCTATTGCTGACTATCCTCCAGCTCTACCATCTCCTACCTCCACCATATCCCACCTCCTCTCCCTCCTCCAGTCAGTAACTCTTCTTGCCAGTTCACTGGATGCCAGCCCCTGTATGCCAGCTGTTGTACTGTACTACTGTACTTTTCAAGGTACTGTACTGTAAGATTTTAAATGTTTTCTTTATTTTTTGCATTTGCTTTTTATGTATTATTTGTGTGAAAAGTATTATAAACCTATTACAGTACAGTATTATATAGGCAATTATGTTAGTTGGGTACCTAGGCTAACTTTGTTGGACTTAACAAATTGGACCATGAACACGCTCTTGGAACAGAACTTGTTTGTATGTAGGTGACTTACTGTACCCAGCTTTAAGAGGTGGAGTTCTGAAGAGGTAGCTTGCAATTCTCTTTCATTTCTCTCCTTGAAAATGATTTCATAGCTTCCTAATATTCTGTATTTATTCATTCACATCTAGAGCTATGGGGAGATAATTTGCATTCTCCTTAAGACTTCTTATGATGCTATCCCACTTTATGCAATTATGAATTAAGCAAATGTAAGAGACCATAATATAAAAATTTATAAAGTCTCAATTCATGCACAAAATTTAAAATAATACGAATCAAAATATTTTAAGATTTCTTCAGGAATTGCATAATTGCAAAGGTGGTAGCCTGAGTGAATGGTGAGCTATGTTTATGCTAAGGCCACATGGTGAAGTCTCTAGCAAATAAAAAATATTCTCCTTATTTTGTCAGTACTTTATGAATCATACATTTGTTTATGTGCACAGTAACTTCTAAGTCAGAGTTCAGTCACTATTCTGCTGTTACTTAACCATTCATTGTCATTACAATTTAAAAGATTTTTTGTATTTTATAACAATGTAATGCAAGCATTCATTAATAGGGTGCTAGAAGCAGGGCTAAAAACATGCCTCAAAATCAATTCCTTTGATAAAGAACTTAGAAGTGAATGAACAAAACTCTAAATAAAGCCAAACAACTGCCAGCGCATGCTGCATGCTGTGCTGTTAATGTGGAAACAAGCAACATGAGAAATACTAGAAATAATGCTGAAAAACAATAAAGCACAAATATATAACACAATAGCTAAAGATTCATGCACCCTGAGAATACATCGCACATTCTTTATATTTATGCTCTTGGGGAAACCAGTCCTTTGAATTTTGTGAGTTTTTAATTACGTGTCTTACAACTTCCTTTTGTTTGGAGATGGAGCCAAATCCCATGTATATAAGGAAATGAGCCTGAATTGAATTTTAAAATAATATATTTGTTTCCTTGTGGTTTTTCTGATTATAAACCACCATGCTTACTACATTGGAAAATGCTGAAAAGTATAAAGATGAAGAAAATCACTTAGAATTTCACCATTCACTACTCTACTTTACTAGCATTTTGACAGTTTCTTCAGGCTTTTTTCCTCTATACTTTTACATAGTTTGGATAAAATACACATACAATTTTGTATCTTAATGTTTTTCTTGACCTTAAATAAGAAGATTTATCAAGACAGTAAGAACTATCCATGGACTTTCTAAAGGCTATAAAATATCTCATCATGTGATTATAACCTATTTAATTAGTACTGTCAGAGAAGAAAAAACTTTCCTTTACAGTTCTAGGTTCTTCTGACTGGTCTAAGAATTAAACTGACATGAGACAGATTAACAGGAAAAAGTCTAATTTAATTTCATACATACAGGAACTCCACATACATGAGAAGGTCAGAGTCCCTACATACATGAGAGGTTCAAAGATAGAAAGGTAAAATAAGGTATACATGTCATCCTGAGCTAAGGAATGGGATAGGGGCCTGGAGCTTCCAAGAAAAGGAGGGTTCACAAGACAATAAGAAAAGCAGATGTTTGGCAATTAGACATTTGCCCTACCATACAGATGGGGCTACTTAGCTCAAATTTATCTCTGTAATAACTTTTTTTTTTTCTGGGAAAAATTCCCAGTTTAAATTCTTCTAGGTAGTTAAGGGAGGAACAGTAGGTTATCTTGAACACACAGGGTCTCATGTCTTTAACTCAAAAAAATCCTCATGCAGGAGTGACAAATTTTGGGGAGGCTCATTCTGAATCCCTAGAGCACTACACCTAATACTAAAACATTAGGTAATTTCCAAGTTTTGCTGTAATAAATAATTCAATGATGAGTATCTCTGGATATAAATTTTATCCCTGGTATGAATTATTCTTCTTTGGGGAAATCCTTAGGAGAATTATTAGATCAAATAGTATCTCAATTCATATCGCCAAATTCCTTTACAGAAAGATTAAAATAATTTACAATATTCCTGGCAATAGAAAAAAGTACCCATCTCACCCCACCTTTACTCAATTGAGTATTATTATTTTAAAAAATATTGCCAATTTTATTAGCAAAAAAAATTATTGCTTTAATTCACATATTCTATTATTTGTAGATTGGGATTTTCCCTGTATTTATTAGCTAGTTAATAATAATAATTTCCTATATTGTGAATTGTCTTTATATGACCTTTGCTCATTTCCCCAGGGTTTTAACATTTTTCCTGCCAATAGGTCTGAGTTCTTTATGTATTAAGCATATTAATCCATAAGCCATCATATTTGCTTTTCTTATGGCTTGAATGCTATTTTTTAATGAGAAGAAATAAATAAGATTAAACATAACGAAAGTAGTATCATGAATAGTTTACTTCCCTAAGTTGGTTATGCCACTGTTTCAAAAAACTTGTGATTATTCTCAGCTGTTTATACTTTCAAATAATTTTCAGAATCTTAGAGTTCTGATAGAAAACAAAATCCATTGGAATTTTTAATGTAATTATATTAAATTTATAAATTTAACTTATAATTTAGTTTTCCAGTCCCCTCAAATGATAGTATTCCCTTGTATTTGAGATTTCTGTCTTAGTTACCTTTGGTGTATATTTATTTATTTATTTATTTATTATATTTTTAATTTTTTTTTGTGGTATGCGGGCCTCTCACTGTTGTGGCCTCTCCCGTTGCGGAGCACAGGCTCCGGACGCACAGGCTCAGCAGCCGTGGCTCATGGGCCTAGCCGCTCCGCGGCATGTGGGATCTTCCCAGACCAGGGCACGAACCGTTGTCCCCTGCATTGGCAGGCGGACTCCCAACCACTGCACCACCAGGGAAGCCCGGTGTATATTTATTTAAAAAAAAAAAAAAAAAAACCTTAATGCCTTCAATAACAATTTATTATTATTTTCTTGGAATCTCTCATGGTTTGCAGTCAGATGGCAGCTGGAGCTGCAGTCCAAGCTTATTAGGGTGGATGTCCAAGATGGCTTTGCTGCTCATAAGTCAAGCTCATCAGTGTTCCTTCTCATGGCCTCTCCCTCCAGCAGAGTAGCCTAGATTTCTTACATGGTGGCTCAGGGCTCCAAGAGTTGGAAGCAGTCTTATTAAAGATAGCCTAGATTTGGCATAGGATTCCTTTTGCCACGTTCTATTGATCAAATCTGTCATGTGACAGCCTAAATTCAAAAAGTGGAGGAACATTTACCTCTGGCTGGGGAAGTGGCCTGTCCACCATCTTTGGAGACGAACTACCACATATTCTTTATTGATCTTTATTTGATCTAGAATTTTCTTCATAAAAGTATTTAAAATTTGTGTTGTTATAGTAGTTTGCATGTTTTTTCTTTTATAGCCTACTAAGCAGTTGTTGCTAATATGAAGGAAAGATATTGTCTTTGATACAGTTGATACATTTATTTAGTAATCACCTTACTAAATGGTCTTATTCATTCTAGTTACCTATTTTAACATCTTGGTTCTCCTGAGAAGATAATCATACAATCTGAAAATAAAGATTTTTTTCTCCTCTTTTTCAATAGTTAAGTCTCTTATCTATTGCACCAGTTAAGACTTCCTAAAAAAGACTAATAGGAAGCAGCCTTGTTTTGCTTTTGTATAATTGTTGTATAATTTTTAAGTACAATTTTACGGAAGTTGTAAGCTGGACGTATTTTATCAACATACATATTTCCCAGAGCTAAATTAAACCACTTATTTTCATATGCTAATACAATACAAATGAATAGAAAGGTAGGTTCTTATTCCAGATAAATTGAATTTAGGGAGGGGGACAATAAAATAAGATGAGGAAGAAAGTAACTAATATATTTTGGACACTGCAATATTTTCTCCCTGAAATCTATAAACTTATTCCCAAAATAAATCATAACCATAAAATATTCCATTAACTCCCACAAATAGCTAATATCTCTGAATAAATATAAAACATCATAAATCTCAGCAATTTCTCCTTTCTTCTCAAGCATGACTATTTACACTAGATGTAAAGAATCAAATTAAGTACATAAATATTTAGAATATGGCTTTTCAGCCCTCTTATACTCACAAGTGGCTGATATTCATACGGTGGAGCATATTCTTCAGCATATGTTGTCAATGCACACCTAAGAAGGGTAAGTCAGTATTTAAGAAAAGAATGACTCCAAAAGAAAAATATTTTAAAATTTTAGTAGCATATGTTTTATACACAATAAAAACATTTCAAGGAAGATTGGCCCTAGTAAAAATTTAAAATATTTAAAATTCCCAGGCCTCATTTATAGTGTTAACTAACACCAGCAAGGTGCCTTCCTTCAATTACTTCCAATTCAGCACCACCTACTATTCTCCAGTACTAATGATATGCTACCAACTCCAAGTCCCTAAGCTCAGGTGCATTCCAGACAAAGGGTTCTCTTTTCCACTCACTGTCTGCTTCTCAAACCTTTTTGACCCTATGCCCCGTGTTCTCTGCTAGATGACAACTGAAAAATAATAGAAGACAACTAGGTGGACTGAGATTACATAGCTTCCCCAACCTCCACTCCATGACACACATGGAATGGGTGAATGAAATACATCCTCCTCCCCCAGGTCTACAAACACAGCCAAGGGAAACCACGCAGTGCTAGAAATGAAGAGGATATTCATTAGAACGGGAGGCCATAAGCTGATGTCCCAAGACTCAAAGCTGGAGTTTGAACTGCCTATCAAGGGCAGGAGACATGGCCTTGGGTTCACAGAAGGCACAGAGCTAAACTGCTACTTACAGCCATGAGTCTGTAAAGGCTGTACCTCATATCAAAGAGACCAAAGAAACTCCGGCCATCAGACCAGAAACTTGCAAGAAAGTTTCTCTCTGTTCAGCATTCAGAATGGGAGAAAAAATTATTCTCCTATGAGAAATTACAGCCCTGCTTCTGTTCCTGGCAATATTATGGGATTAGATGGTCAAAGAAACTCCTCTGAGAACTACACTCCTAAAAATATCGGGTACAATGAAATGTAAACATTTTAATGCATGGCTGACCTGGTGGGAAAGCAGAGAACTCAACAAGTAAAAGAATTCAAAAATAATTAGGAAGTCAACTAGGAATGGTTACTGGGTACAGGTGCTAATATTTACCTGCTGGTAACCACCAATTGCTGCCGGTCTTTCAAGGTGTGATTTCCAGAGGGGCATCATTAGCATTATCTGGGGACTTGTAAGAAATGCAAATACTTGGAGGCTACCCCAGATCTGAATTAGAAACTCTGGGGGTGGGCCCAGCAATCCATGTTTTAACAAGTACTCTAGGTGATTCTAAAAGTCTGAGTATTGGCAATTAAAAGAACAAAAATTAGAAGTGTAACTTTCAAACCAGCAAATAGGATATTATTTTTAAAAAACAGTCTAATAAAAAGCAGGAGAGGAGACTAAAAGAGAAAAACCTTTTCTGCTCAGAAGAACAAACTAAAATCATAAAAAATTAAATATCTTGCCAATCACAATGAAAGGGACTAAACCCATCAGTGAAAGTATTTTCTCGAACTTAAATTGAACATCAAGTTGTATGCTTTTTTTAATTTTTGCTTTTCAAGTATAGTTGATTTATAATATTATATTAGTTTCAGATACAGCATAGTGATTCAGTATTTTTATAGATTATTAACAGTTATTACAGGGGGAGAGTTCCAAGACGGTGGAAGAGTAAGACGTGGAGATCACCTTCCTCCCCACAAATACATCAAAAATACATCTACATGTGGAACTGCTCCTACAGAGCACCTACTGAATGCTGGCAGAAGACCTCAGACTTCCCAAAAGGCAAGAAACTCCCCATGTACCTGGGTAGGGCAAAAGAAAAAACAAAGACAAAGAATAGGGACGGGACCTGCACCTCTGAGAGGGAGCTGTGAAGGAGGAAAAGCTTCAACACACAAGGAAGCCCCTTCGCTGTCAGAGACGGGGGTGGTGGGAGGGAAACTTCAGAGCCACGGAGGAGAGCGCAGCCACAGGGGCGCGGAGGGCAAAGCGGAGAGACTCCCGCACAGAGGATCGGTGCCGACCGGCACTCACCAGCCCGAGAGGCTTGTCTGCTCACCCGCCAGGGCAGGCAGGGGCTGGGAGCTGAGGCTCGGGCTTCGGAGGTCAGGCCCCAGAGACAGTACTGGGGTTGTCGGCGTGAACACAGCCTGAAGGGGGCTAGTGCGTCACAGCTAGCTGGGAGGGAGTCCGGGAGAAACTCTGGAACTGCCTAAGAGGCAAGAGACCATTGTTTTGGGGTGTGTGAGGAGAGGGGATTCAGAGCACCACCTAAACGAGCTCCAGAGACAAGCGCGAGCCACGGCTATCAGCGCAGACCCCAGAGACGGGCACGAGACGCTAAGGCTGCTGTTGCCACTAAGAAGCCTGTGTGTGAGCACAGGTCACTATCCACACCTCCCCTCCCGGGAGCCTGTGCAGCCTGCCACTGCCAAGGTCCCGTGATCCAGGGACAACTTCCCCGGGAGAACACACGGTGAACCTCAGGCTGGTGCAACGTCACGCTGGCCTCTTCCCCCGCAGACTCGTCCCACATTCCGTACCCCTCCCACCCCCTGGCCTGAGTGAGCCAGAGCCCCCGAATCAGCTGCCTCTTTAACCCCGTCCTGTCTGAGCGAAGAACAGATGCCCTCAGGTGACCTACATGCAGAGGCGAGGCCGAATCCAAAGCTGAACCCCCAGAGCTGTGCGAACAAAGAGGAGAAAGGGAAATTTCTCCCAGCAGCCTCAGGAGCAGCGGATTAAATCTCCACAACCAGTTTGATGTACCCTGCACCTCTGGAATAGCAGAATAGACAACAAATCATCCCAAAATTGAGGCAGTGGACTTTGGGAGCAACTGTAAACTTGGGGTTTGCTTTCTGCTTCTAAGTTGTTTCTGGTTTTATGTTTATCTTAGTTTAGTATTTAGAGCTTCCTATCATTGGTGGATTTGTTTATTGATTCTGTTGCTTTCTTCCTTTTTTTTTTAAATATACATATATATTTTTCCTTTTTCTCCTTTTGTGAGTGTGTATGTGTATGCTTCTTTGTGTGATTTTGTCTGTGTAGCTTTGCTTTTACCATTTGTCCTAGAGTTCTGTCTGTCCGGGGTTTTTTTGTTTTTTTTATAGTATAGTTTTTAATGCTTGTTACCATTGGTGGATTTGTTTTTTGGTTTGGTTGCTCTCTCTTTCTTTCTGTTTCTTTATTACTTTTTAATTTTTTTAATTTTTAATAATTTCTTTTGTTTATTTATTTATTTTTATTTTCTTTTTTAGTGGTACACGGGCCTCTCACTGTTGGGGCCTCTCCCGTTGGGGAGCACAGGCTCCAGACGCGCAGGCTCAGTGGCCATGGCTCATGGGCGCAGCCGCTCCATGGCATGTGGGATCTTCCCGGACCGGGGCACGAACCCGTGTCCCCTGCATCGGCAGGCGGACTCTCAACCACTGCGCCACCAGGGAAGCCCTATTTTTTAATTTAATTATTTTATTTTATTTTTTCTTTCTTTTTTTCTTTTTTTTCCCCTCCCTTTTCTTCTGAGCCATGTGGCTGATGGGTTCTTGGTGCTCCAGCCGAGTGTCAGGCCTGAGCCTCTGAGGTGTGAGAGCCGAGTTCAGGACATTGGTCCACCAGAGACCTCCCGGCCCCGCATAATATCAAACAGCGAAAGCTCTCTCAGAGATCTCCATCTCAACGCTAAGACCCAGCTCCATTCAATTCCCAGTAAGCTATAGTGCTGGACACCCTATGACAAACAACTAGCAAGATAGGAACACAACACCACCCATTAGCAGAGAGGCTACCTTAAATCATAAGCTCACAGATACCCCAAAACACAACACCAAGTGTGGTCCTGCCCACCAGAGAGACAAGATTCAGCCTCATCCACCAGAACACAGGTACCAGTCCCCTCCACCAGGAACCTTACAAAACCCACTGAAGCAACCTTAACCACTGGGGGCAGACATCAAAAACAACGGGAAATATGAACCTACCGCCTGCAGAAAGGAGACCCCAAACACAGTAAGTTAAGCAAAATGAGAAGACAGAGAAATACACAGCAGATGAACAAGCAAGGTAAAAACCCACCAGACCAAACAAATGAAGAGGAAATAGGCAGTCTACCTGAAAATTAATTCAGAGTAATGATAGTAAAGATGATCCAAAATCTTGGAAATAGAATGGAGAAAATACAAGAAACGTTTAACAAGGACCTAGAAAAACTAAAGAGGAAACAAACAATGATGAACAACACAATAAATGAAATTAAAAATTCTCTAGAAGGAATCAATACCAGAATAACTGAGGCAGAAGAACGGATAAGTGACCTGGAAGATAAAATAGCATAAATAACTACTGCAGAGCAGAATAAAGAAAAAAGTATGAAAAGAATTGAGGACAGTCTCAGAGATCTCTGGGACAACATTAAACGCACCAACATTCGAATTATAGGGGTCCCAGAAGAAGAGGAGAAAAAGAAAGGGACTGAGAAAATATTTTAAGAGATTATAGTTGAAAATGACCCTAATATGGGACAGGAAATAGTCAATCAAGTCTGGGAAGCACAGAGAGTCCCATATAGGATAAATCCAAGAAGAAACATGCCAAGACACATATTAATCAAACTATGAAAAATTAAACACTAACAAAAAATATTAAAAGCAGCAAGGGAAAAGCAACAAATAACATACAAAGGAATCCCCATAAGGTTAACAACTGATCATTCAGCGGAAACTCTGCAAGCCAGAAGGGAGTGGCAGGACATATTTAAAGTAATGAAAGAGAAAAACCTACAACCAAGATCACTCTATTCAGCAAAGATCTCATTCAGATTTGACAAAGAAATTAAAACATTTACAGACAAGCAAAAGCTAAGAGAATTCAGCACCACCAAACCAGTTTTACAACAAATGCTAAAGGAACTTCTCTAGGCAGGAAACACAAGAGAAGGAAAAGACCTACAATAACAAACCCAAAACAATTTAAAAAATGGTAATAGGAACACACATATCGATAAATATCTTAAATGTAAATGGATTAAATGCTCCGATCAAAAGACATAGACTGGCAGAATGGATACAAAAACAAGACCCATATATATGCTGTCTACAAGAG